AGCTTACAACAGAAAGAATGAAGGAGAAAGACCATTCCGTTAATGACAATTGCCTTGAGGCTTTGGCTATCCAAATTGAAACATTTCAACCCTTTCACCTGATTTTTCTGAGGATCTCCAGTTACAAGGAAGCAATTCCTCACAGCTGGCTGCTGCTGTCTGGCCTCTGTGTGTTTGCATGGGGACAGAGAGAGTGAATAGACTGTGCAGATGAAAACACTGATTTATGTCTAGATTATTCAAAGTCTGATAATTACAAAGCATCCAGAAAACATAATGGATTTCTTTGCGAATTCTATCAATACATTTCCATAAAAACACTCTGTATTTTGACAGCTGGTCAGTAGGTCAAGTTTCAGTACTTCACAGTAGGTCAAGTTTCAGCCTTAATAAAAGCATTGAACTCAACAATCAAAAAGGGAAGCAAGCATTTGGCAAATGAGAATTGCTCTTTCTAGCAAGAGAGAGGTGTGGTTTTTCACTTTTAAGAATTCCCAAGATTATACAATTGCAGATGCACACATATTAACCTCATTTTTGCCTGGTGGAAGAAACGAGCACAAAATGGTTACGTAGACCTCCTGTCCAACAGTTCAAAACAAGATCCCAACCTGTTTCCTACAGCTTTGACCTTATCATTAGGCACCAGAGTTGTTTCTGAGAGCTAAAAGGGCAAAGGAAATTACTGCCTCCGGCAATATCCAAAATACACAGCCTGCTGGACTGCACAGCCTGGGTCTGTGCAAGCCAGCTGCAACTTTCTACTTAATAATTATGCCCACAGAAAAGCAAAAATGTTACTGGATCAATATTCACTTAATGATAGCAACCTCCATGTAGTAATGTCCATGTACTTTTCCATAAAGGTCTACTAGAGAACACCAAACTAACACAGGCCCTCCATCATCTCCCTAAGGAAGAACCTACATACAACTCTACTGCAGCACAAAGATAGAGCTACAGCTCATACAGACACCTGTGTTCAAAATCCATTTGAATTGTTTAAGAACAACTTGTACAAGGTCAAGTCTGTCCCACTCCTCACTGTACACACTTTGTTAGCAGCCTGATATTATTTCACCAGTAAGAGATTTGTCACTTCAGAACTGTGTTTAACCACAAAAAGGCAACCTTCTCGAGGCTGCAACTGTAACACAAACCCTAGCTCACTGTCTTTCAGCAGTAATGACAATTTTCAGAGGGCTCCCAGACTAAGAAAACATGACTTTACACTTGGAACTAGGCCTAAGAGCTCAAAATTTTAGGTAAATCTCTCTAAACATGGCTGTAGTCTTGAAAGCCTGCACAGGACAGGATGCACATGTTTTCTTCCTTTAACTAAAACGCTTGATTTGCTGCCATTCTTCTTGTGTTTCTTTTAAAAAGTATGAAATACATAGAGACAAAACATGTAAGATACAAATCTAACCCATATTGAGAATAAAGTATGCAAACTGCATAAGTCAGCCTTCATGAGCTCAAGAGATGAGCCAATGTCAACTCCTATGTAGTGACAAGGGACCTCAGCCCATCCTCCCCCGTTGCCAGGCAACCATTCCTGTATCCTTGGCTGTATTCATCAGCCATTAAGCACCATCAGGCTCCCTTTTTTTCCTCCCTCACACAGGCTCCCACTCTCAGAGATGTAGGAAGGGGAGGGGGAAGTTAAACAAGATGACTTTCTTTCCCAGCAGAAGCAACATTCTGAGTTTTAACAGCTAATAGATTTTAGCCAATTCACACAATTCAGAGAATTGTTTTGTAGTGAAAGATGCAGCATGACTGTAAGGTGCAGTTCTAATAGGAGCAGGGCTCTGTTAAAAGTCGACATTTAATGGAAATCTTCTGGAATGTCTATTATTAGACAGCGATGATCTCACGCTGACAGTACTAAAGTGCCCTTTGAGTTTGTAAAAAATAAAGCAAGAGATGACAGCTTTTTAACTCCATAAGAATGGCATTCAACATGAGGAAATGCTATTGTAAACCTTGTTAAGATAAATAAAAAGCAGCTGATCTCAGAAGCAGAAATGTGTTACCTTTAACTTATTCCATGGAAACAAAGCAGTACCTCAACCACTGGAAGTGCCAATCCACTGCCCCTAATACCCCACCCCTGGAGCACAAGTCTCCCTGGCTGCCCATGCTCAAGCCACAAGGTAACTTCTACTTGCAGGCACTACCAGGGAAGTCCTACAGCCATAAAGGGAGCTGGGCAATGCAAGTAAAAATGAAGATTCTCCCCCTCCCAGCCCCAGGTTAACTTCAGCCAGAGCAGCTCTCATCCAGCTCCAACATGGCACCCAACGGGAAGGGGCTGAGGACAGAGGGGAAGATATGGCTCCTTCAGCCAAAGTTCATTCTTATATCACATTAATCCTGCCATCAAACAACCCTGTAATACATCCTTCCTATTTCAGTCTTGTTATCTGTCTAGTTTTCATGAGACTGAAGTTTCATAGAACTCCTCAAGTGAAAAAAAATATTAACACATTGAAAAACTTGTTTCAAAGCTCTAAAATAACACCAAATATTGCAAACCCTGCAATTCTACAACAGGGAAACCCAAGATTCCCAGAGGACTCACTTAAACATACAATTAGAAAAGCTGATTTGTCTCTCTCTTTTTGTTTTTGAGACCACCATGTGAACATGTTTTCATGTCTGTTAACCATCAATGGAGAAGGATCTTGATTAGAGATTGTTAGGACAAGGATCATGCACAAGGCTGGAAAACATAAGGATGTATGTAAGGACAAAGAAAAGGCTGAAAGAGCTTAAACTGATATTTAAGTGGAAGCTCAGGTGTGATTAACTAGCAGTCAAAACAACTACACCAGGACCAGAAATGTCACAGCATAAGGTTGTGCAGGTAAGCAGGAAAAAAAGAGCTATTTTCAATGCTTCCAGCTGATTCAGACAAATTGTAGAAATAAACAGGGCAAATGTTTTCCAACAGTGTTAACTGTTGGGCAATTTTCCAAGAACCATGAAAACTTTTCCATCACCGGAATCTTGAGGACTAGAGTCTTTTGCTCTAAGTACAAAGCACAGGCAATGTAAAGAAACAACTCTGATGTCAATAAACTAGATCATAGAGATGATTTTACAGCACAGAAGGAAACATCCTGACTAGTACTGCTTGCTCCTTACAGCACGGAAGCATTTTTACAAACTCATGTTTCACAAAATTTTCCTCTGGTTGTGTCCACACAGGTCAAAAGTGATGATTCTCTTCTCATTTAGAGACAAACTTCTGTAATTTGCAGCCAAAGTATATAGCACGAGAAAAAGGATTTTATGTAGCCCCACCTTCAAATTTTATTTTATAATTACTTTAGTATAATAAGTATACTCACGTCTGTTTGCTAATTAGACAAATGCAATACTGATCAATCTCTACACTGCATCAATACCATGACAGGAATTCAGAGGAGTTTAGGATTTGCTAAGAGTAAGACATTCTGGTCATCTGCAAGTCCTTGGGTGTTTTCCAAGTGTCTCAATTTTAAGTTTTAATATGCACTTGTTTGGAGTCTTACTACAGTAACATGTGCATTTAAATACTGTTCAGATCAGTAAAATATTAATAGCAGATTATTTAAATAATTCCACAGTCCTCAATGAAAACTTCCAATTCTCAAAAAGTCCTTAGAAGAGAACCATAATTCCCATCCTAAAGGGAATACAAGACCATGATACAGTGTCAGAACAAAACATAAAACAAAACAACAGTCTTCTCCAGCCGTGGGTTGCTGTGAGCACTCCTTTTGGAAGTATTACAAACAGCTTTACTTTGGTCTCCTTTTAACAGTAAAACTGTTGAATCTGATTTGCTTCTACAAGTACTTAATGCTTAAGGGCAAATCCTGGGCCTTTAAACCAAATACAGAACTGAACATATTTTTACAGCGAATATTTCAAAATTATTGTGCTCCTGGAACTTGGTTCTATGGCACATGCCAGCATCACAACCCTACTACTGGGATATGAAGTAGCATATGGTTCCTATTATGTCTAACAATATTGGTTAAATTTGAAGAAAGCTTTGCTTGAAAATAACACTTTTTGAGTGCAGAAATCTCACTGGTGCCTTCATCCACAGACACAGCAGGGTAAGTAGAGCCAAAAAGTTTCAAACACCGAAAATTGCCCATTCTGAGTGATTTCACCAAACAAACAAGAGATGCTAAACAGTCAAACAGGGTATGGCCATGATAAAGGATTACTCACAAGTAACTGTTCACAAAATTATTAAAATAATTCTTTTCTGCAGTGATTTCACAAACAAAACCAGCTTGCCACATCTTACCATGAAACACAGTAAGTTAAACAATTCTGGAGGAGAAAGACTAAAAATATGCACTGTTAGAGGATACCTTTTCCATATACATGAGAAATCAAAGCATATACATATATAATGAAAGCTGTAGAGTGCTGAAAATTAGTCTCTGGTTTGGGTCTTACTTTCCTACAGCTATTTAATTACCCCTTCATCATTTTCGCTGCCTTGCTCTCTATACCAGGAGCATGGTACCATGAAAGTAAAATTAAGAACAAAATTGTGAATTCCCATTCTAGCAATTTTGTTTGCAACTGAGCTCTCAACATACAGAAGCCGAGTTGCAACCTGATTTTCAATTATTTATACTTTGTTGCCTTTGTAATTTCATATTTTCCATTCAATTAGAATGATCTCTCCTTCATATGCATATTCAGTTTTTAGACAAAACCAGATGCTTGCCAAGGCAGTGTGTAAGACACATAAGTGTTCATGCCACTGACTGTCATTTTGTTTAATTACTGAAGCCTAACCCAAATTTCTGGCTCATGCTCGCACTTTATTTTGACTAAATTTTAAGTTTTGCAACTTAACTCCTTAAAATACTTTCTTTCTTTGCTCTGAGAACATAGTATCCTCGCATTTCTTTCAAGCTCAATAACATTTATGATAAGAAAAGTCAGAAGAGCTGTTTGATACATTTTTTTTTTTCATTTACCTTAAAGCCAAGATGGGATCAGCTTTGTAGAGACTTTGTCATGAAGGCATATTTTCAGTCTGGCCTCTACACAAATTCTCTGCAAGAGAGCAACACATCATACTTTATAATACAACTCATTGAAACAGAAAACTAACCATTTTCAGTTATATAACTTCTAAATATAAATAGAAGACTCATTTTCCTGACACAGCAGCAAAATAGAACATATTTTTAAACATGATGGTCCTTATGAAGTATTTTTCTTATTTAAAAAAGCAAAATGACTGCCTAAAATGTTAGATTCAATGTCCTTGCAACCAGCAAGGCCTGCTTTACGAAGGAGCAGATCCCTATTCAGGGAACTTGTGGTGGCTCTTCTACAAAACACTGTACAATAAACCATTGCCTTGGTTATCCATCACTAAACTAGAAGTGTTCTTATTACAAAAAAAAAAAAAAATAAAATTGTTATTCTGATAATTTCAAATTTTCATCTATTTCCCACTAGCAACCTCATTATCATCCATAAAAATCTCCCTTCTTCTTTTGATGAAATTCAGAAGGTACCAATGTTTTGCTTCCCCAAGCAAAACAAGGTAGCTCAGCCCACATTTAAGCATTCTCTGTGTACATCACTGAAACTCAGTACCAATCAAAGCTTATTATAAAGATTCCACAGATAACTCCACTAATAAGCTTCTACTGTTGCACTGAATAAATTATTAAAAGAAAATGAAAGAAAGGATCCACAGTAATCAAGTTTTGTCATAACTTTTTGTAAACACAACCATACCTGGGCAGTAAAGAAGTAATATTAAAAAAAAAAAAAAAAAATAGAGAAATGCACTGTTTAAGAAAAGACTGGATGTGGCACTCAGTGCCGTGGCCTAGTTCACATGATGGTGTTTGGTTAGAGGATGGACTTGATGAGCTCAAAGGTCTTTACCAACCTAACTGATTCTGTGATTCCCTGACTTCTTTTCAACATCCAGAATGCAGAACCCATTGAGCTCCTCCAGCACTTCTTTTGTAGGACCACATCCAGCACTAATCCAAATAAACAAATAATGCACTGAACTAGCAGGAGTGCAGTTTCCATCTCCTAGACACCTGGTTTTAATATACATTTTACTGATCCATCATAAGGGCTGTAGCACCCATGTTGCAACAGGCTTCCTCTTGTGCAGGTAAGAAGGTGGGAAAGAGTGTTTGGGAGATGGAAAGGGTTTGGGTGAGAGATGAACTGGCTTATACACCTTTTCCTAGGTATGCATTCAAAGGTCTGACCAAAGTTCATCTTGAATTAACGGGCGAAACAAAAGCCACAAAAGAAAGATTTTTAAAGATATTCCTGAATTTTCCATCTGGAGATAAATTATCTTAAAAAAAAAAAACAACAAACAAAACAAACACAAAAACCCAGAAGCCAACTGATGGTAATCTAACTATTCATGCTTCAGTTGCTGTTGTAATTGTGTTCAAGGTAACCTTGCAGAGTCACAGCTCATAAAAATGGTGGAACAACAGGAAGACAACCCCTTTATCATTGTAGATCTGAACCCTGTCAGAGGTGCTTAAAGTAACTTGGGCTGGGAAAAGCCTAGGAAGTCAGATGGTCCAACCCCTCATTTAAAGCAGGAATAACATCAACATTAGATCAGGATGCTCGGAGCTTTGTACAGTCAGCTAAAACTAAGAAAAAAATACCAGTCCTAAAGGAAATTCATGTTTTGCCCTTCCAAGACCCAGACCCATTTTCATGAAGACAGTTGAAAATGAACTGCAGCAAAGCAACAAAAATTCAAAATGAAGTAATGATGGATTTACTGAGTTCCAAAAGTCACATTTCCTTGACTGTCATAAATATAATATTGTACTACTTCTCTGTAAATCAACACCTTGAGACTATAATGCTCATGAAAGCAGAAATTACAGTTATGGTCTTACTGGGCAACACTAAAGGAAGCTGAATAAAACAACCCAAAAAACCCCAGTCATTTCCCCGGACCAGAAAAAAGACTTATTTGCTCACAAGTCTCAGATAAAAGCTTCATGTTAAAACATTTTATCTTTCTTACAGTTTTACTGCTCAAAAGATGAACTATGAGATTAAATCCAATCTATTAAGCTCTAGAGATAGTCACATGCCATGCAACTCGTAAGACTTCAGGGTCTGGACATAGCAGAAGTTATTGAATATATGAGGGAAGCATTTCAGAAAGGCATTAACACTAATAGGGCTTACATATGTGTATCAAGGGAAAAATATCTGCTAAATTATGATACTAGTCAGTCATGACCCAGAGGTACAGAAAGTAGCCATCTGTATAATTCCACAGAATTCTGAGAAATTCTCCTAAATTCACCCACTTAGAAGGCTTTGATTTTTTTCCAAGCATCTACTGAAAAGAAAAATGTGAGGAAAAAAACCCAAAACCTCAAATCACACACTAATCACACTCAAATACGTTTGTGTTTTACCAGTTTAAAGAATAGGCATGGAGGTAAATTTTAGAGACACAGAATGGGGGCTTTTTTGTTTGATTGTTTAATCGAAAACCAAAGCAAAAAAAGAACACAGTGAAAAATTCCCCAAAACACCAACAGACTGCAGTTTCATCCAGTCTCTCCCACTTAGACAGTGACAGCAATGTTTAAAACATGCAGAGCATTTTAAGGTTTTTCAGCCACCATGACTAGTAACTGCAGGCTCTCGTACCCCTGCATCTTCTAGATATGCAGTTGAAAATGGACAACAAGAAGATTCAGGATCAGGGAACCGAAAAACAAGGTCACGTATCAGTTTTCCTTCTTACCAGATAAAGTCACTTGTTTCATTACTGATCACCTTCCCAGGCAGGAATGACTATGTTCATCATATGCTTCAAAATTTTTGTTCATGCCAAGTGTATCTAACTTTTAAGCAGCTAGCAAATTTACAGATAATGACTCTGGAGTAATTTCAGTGGGGAAGCATTAGCCCAAGGAAAGAAATTCCTATTCACAAATTCTGAAGAAATTATTCTCTCCTCAGCAAAGTTTATATTTGAGAAAGTAACTATTTTTGCTGGGAGAGAATATTGCAAATTGGAGCAGAAATCCCATTTCACTTAAAATTGTAATTCCTGTGTTTCACATGAGGCTCAGAATTCAGTGGGTACAGAAGGCAGGAAGAGGAGGGAGGGACACAACAGCTCATGGATTAGATGTTGCCACTTCTGATCCATCATCACACTTTCTCAGATTATGAGAATGAACTTTTCCCAGCAGTACATTTTATGCTTGACAGATTACAGATCAGTTTACACATTCACAATTGGAGCACTCGAATTTTACAAAAGTTCAGGTCTTTTGAGACCAGCATTTGTTATATGGCTTGACACTGAGTCAAGAGAAACATTCCACGAGACAATGCCAGAGACACTTTCTGGCAATGAAATGGGTGAAGTCACAAACTCCTTAATGATCTCTGCAGCCAGCCTGAATTTAACACTTCTTCTTTGACTTTACAGCTGGCTCAGAAAGGTCATTAGACTATTATATTCACTGTTATGTAGAGCAGCACTATACACATGTAAAGTTTCTATAGCAACACTTTCTTAATTCACTCTTTAAGCAAAACACCAATTAGCTTTTTATTATAGCCAATTAAAAAAATCTGCACACTAACTGACAACCTCTCTACTCGGAATTTAAACTTATGCAAAAGAAAATTGCAGTAAAATTTTCCATGGTAATGGCTTACTCCCTATTCTTCCCTCTTAAGACAACAGTAAATTATTTCTGATTGGGGCTGAGCATTTATTTTCCAATCTGAACCATTTTGATACAAAGAAGTAACCTATCCTGATATGCCTTAAATCTTAGTAGAGCCCAAAGATTACAGGTTTCAGAAAAGCATCAGAAATGTAATCAACTGACTTATTTCTGCATCACAGGAAACTGGGCATTGGCCTGTGCACCTGGAGATTGTGCAAGAGGCAGCCAGCAAAATGTTTCTCTTTCAGAGTATTTAAGCACATTGAGCCAAGTGAGAAAGATGGCAAAAAACAGTACTGAAAGTCAAATTCAGCAGGGCAGCAGAGACATTTTTGTTTCCTTCTTAATACTTAGTATTGGTTTATTCACATGTCTTCAACACAGCTGGTGATGACAGCTTCTTTGTATGTCACTTCAAGTAGCAAATATCAAGATAAATTAGTTAGAAACCAGTCAGCGAACATAATATAAAAAGAAACACATCATGATGCAGAGTACCACAAGAAGTAATCAACAACAAAAACTAAACTGTCCTTCTTGGTAAGATCTTCTGCAGGAAGCTGAATATAAAACGTCGTTCCCCTTACAGTTTTTCCATGTGAGGTGTTGGGATTCACCTCACTAATAAATAAATAAATACACACAGAATGAAGTAGCAGATGGCTCCTCTGACAAGCCTGGCATGCCCCAATCAAGAATTAATGGTGCCTGAGGTATCGGTAGGTCTGCTGGCTCTTAAGGATAAACTACAGAAACTACTCTTATTCTCACCCTCTTACACTTATTCACACTGTCATATACTGCAGCATTAGCACAGAAACCTAAGGCATCTCACAAGTGATGTGGGGAGACCAGTGCAGTAACTAAAAGAGTTTCCCTTCAAAGGCTGACAAACAGAAAGAGGGGTTAGAGTGATCTTTCAAAGCTACCACTGTAAAGGAGAGATCAAGGTACTCAGATGCAGAAGAGACCACTAAGTGTAACCCTGAAGTTGCTGCAGCATGAGAAGACCATCTGCTGCAAAGTCACAGGGTCTGGAGCACATCAGTGAGCTATGCAGAACACTGGGACACCAGAGATAAGGGACCAGAGTTAAGCACCAGGTTCTTTAGAGGGGTAAACTCCCAAACACAGTTTCCTGAATTGCAGGAAATGGGAGCATATTCAAGCTGCAAGCCTTCCAAGCCAAGACCCCACTGTCAGATGCACAGCTCTACCTCCTGCAAAGGGACTATTAGTCCAAAACACAGTGCACAGTGTTACACACAGAATAGGGACTAAATGAAACTAATGTTAATGTTTTCTGTCCCAAGACTGAAGATTTGTCCCCTGGTAACC